GTTTTCATCTCGCACGGCTGCGACAGCGAGATAGTTTGGCGACAACATCCTGTAGATGTGAGGGCAACAAAGGAACTCCTCTGTAACATCCCAGGTCCGTTGTCGCATCATGGGTTCCCCGTAGGGGACCCGCAGCGCTTCAGGATCAACCGCCCCGTGACTGTCATAGTCTGTGGGAACGACGGGTTGGGTTAATAGAGGCGTACCTCTGATGATTAACGTCATGTCAGGTGGATTTGGGGATTCCCCGGGTATAGTACGGCACCTCGCCAGGTCACCGTCGGGAGAAGTCATACCACACGCTGCCTGACCAGCGCAACGAGCCGTGGACGTTCGAATCGCCCACACCCAAAGCTTCTGCTGCAAAGTTGGGAGCATCGCGTCTCGCAGCGATTTTGCTTCTCCCAAGGAGACCCCTTTTGCGTAATCGGGTCTCCTAGATGGTCCGTCGGCTGGGTTCTCTGGACCTGGCTTGTATTCGATCTCAAAATCGAACCGCGCCAGCTCTTCCGCCCAGCGGGCTTGCTTGGGGGAGAGCTCCTTCGTTGTCATGAAATAGCGCAGATTGTTGTGATCAGAGAGTACCCAGATCGTGCTCGGGGCGTACTCTAGGTAGTGCCTCCAATGTTTAAAGCTCTCCACAATCGCGCACAACTCCTTGTCGTGCGTATGCCAACAAAGTTGTGGGCCGCTTAACTTGCGGCTCCAGAAGGCTATGGGCCTCCAGTGGCAATTCACTGCCAGCTCAGAGAACTGAGGCTGGAGCAGTATCACTACCATAGCAAACTCAGAAGCGTCTGTGATAATCATAACCAGCTTCAATAGATCAAAGTGCTAAAGGACTAGGGCATCCATAAATTTTAACTTAAGAGTCAGGAAGGCGTTGCAGGCCTTTTCAGGCCAGAACCATTCCTAGTACCACTTCGTGGGACCCTTGCGATTCTGCTTCGCTTCCTTCTTCTTTTTCAAGTCAGGGCCCCTACAGGGCGGACTCAGGGCTTAAGCGGCCGTCATATAGTCAACCAGTAGGCGTGCGATCTCTAAGTAATTGTGGACAAATCTTCAATAGAAGTTCGTAAAGCCCAGAAATACCTGGATGTCCTTAAAGCTCTCTAGCTCAGGCCATTCCTTGATCGTCTGGACGCGCAATAAGTCCATTACCACACCTTCTAGCGTGACTATGAAGCCCAGGAACTCAACAGCCTTTGTCTTAAAGGAACATTTAGATGCCTTACAGTACAGTCCCCATTCCACTAGTCAATCAAGAACCTCAAAGACATGTTGCTCATAGTCCTTTTCGTCTTTAGAGTAAATAAGGATGTCGTCTAGATAGACGACACACGTCCTATCCAACAAGCCTCCCAAAGCCCTATGGATATAGGACTAAAAGGTGGCCGGGGCATTAGCTAGGCCGAAGGGCATAACAAGGTACTCAAAATGCCCGTACCGCGTCTTAAAAGCAGTCTTCCACTCATCCCCTTCCTTAATGCAAAGCCTATGGTAGGCGTCGCGAAGGTCAAGCTTCGTGAAGACCTTAGCCTTTAACAGGCAATCTAACATCTCGCTCACAAGCGGGATAGGATATCAGTTCTTAATCATGATTTTGTTAAGACCTCAATAGTCAACACAAAGTCGCAGTGTCCCATCTAGTTTTAGGACAAAGAGGATAGGAGCACCCGCTGGCGACCTGCTTGGGCGTATCCAACCCTTCTCCTGGGCCGCATCGAGGTATTCCCGCAGGATATCCAGTTTGTGGCGGGAGAGGTTATAGATTGGGAGGTTCGGAATCTTCTTTCCCTCCTCAATCTCTATGGCATGATCATGCTCGCCGTTCGGCCTGAGGATGTTCGTACGATGTTTGCTGAAAGCGTACCACCGAGAGTGGAACTCAGGGGGAACATGCGCGAGTTCCTCAGGGTCCGGAGCGTCGTCAGCATCATCAGTGCCTGGATACCCATCGCTGTCGTCGGGAAGTACCCGGGCAACGCCCGCGGGCAGTGTGGCCCGGCGGTGGCCTTGATCATGGATACTGGCTACCACACAATAGGCCATGGCTTCAGGAAGCCATGAGAGCTTCGGGAACGTCTCAACACACTTCCAGAGATGCTCCTGAATCTCAAGCATGTACTTCTTCAACCAGAGCAGCCCTTGACAATGAAAGTACTCTGCATCCTGCACCACGTCGCCACTGGGCCCGGGGGCTTGCGGAGCAGGTTCGGGGTGTCCCCGAAGCAGTTCCTCTAAGAGGGCTTCCTTCCTAACATCGTCGCTCATTAGTTAAATAGTATAAGAGGTAGGGTGCAGCACGTATGCAGTCTCCCCAGGACCAAAGTCCTTTAGGAGCTCCTCAGCAGATACCAACTAGATTCTACCGTCGTCGTTCTCCCACCACTCAAATGTACCGTCTTTGAAACAGATTTTAGGGTCAGCTTCTTGCAGCCAAGGATACCCTAAGATCAGGTCGTAACCTAAGAAATCAGCCAACCAGAATCTTTAGGGGCCAACTTCTTTATTAGTACCCCTGTTGTCTGTGCAGACAAGGGAAAGATCATATGGCGATCCTAACTGTAATCAGTGATTGTTAATAAAGCTCGCGTCAGGCTTCTCGTAGTGGTGCTCACACAAGAGGCCATATTCCTGAATAACGCCAGCGTTTATCAGGTTCAATTCAGCACCCATGTCGTAAAGGCCGCGGAGGATAGTCGTTCCGCCGTCAGGGAGTTTAAGCTGCACCCAAACCGCGATGCAGAGCTGCTTGCCATTTAATTCAGGCCCTAGTTGCAAGCGTGCAAGATTTGCAACTAGGGCTTCTCTTTTTTTGTGCCATTGTCGTCCTTCTGGTCAAATCAGTTCTTCCAGTGGGGCTTGTGTTTACCAGAGGTCTCTTAAGGCGTTGTTGCAGCAGTATCAGTCCTCTGTACTAGGGACTGTTAGTTGCTTGTCAATTAGCCTGCAGGCTTCCAGTCTTGTCTTTTATCTTTCCACCACTGTCAAGAGTTTAAGGTAGAGCAGGACCGCTTTTTTTTCTGAGTTAAAGCGTCCCCGGAGCTGGCCTGGGGCGTCATCGGAGCTCGCTCAGGGCAAGCAACGGTTTCGGCGTTGCGTACAGCGCGCTCAAACTCTGGCCAAGTGTTCACAGACTCAAGTAAGCTGTTGCGCTGCATTTCTCTTCGGATAGATTCTAAGAGGCGGCTCCATACAAAGGCAATTTTGATCTCATGGAGTTCCTCTCCGTTAGAGGTTCAGAAAGGAGTGTTTTTTAGGAGACCCTCTCGCTAAGATAGCTGGGCGATAAAAGTGTTAAATGTATCGCCCACTTTCCACTCTGTATTCCAAAAGTAATAGTAGTTCTCGTACCGCGTTAGGAGAGGATCCTAGGTAAGCTCGCGTACTTTGGTTTGAAGCTGAGCCCAGGTTTCAATGGTGCCTTCGTCGATAGCGCGACTGATTAGGTCCTTGTGGACTTCGAACTAGATCTAGTTAACAATCCATCAGGTTCGAGTGGCAGAGTCATCTAGGAGGTCCACGTATTCCCAGATACCGTTCATATCTCTCACCCAGGTGTCTACCTGCTGTGGGGTTGGAGACTTCTTCAAGGAGCCAAGCTTCGGAGGGGCCTTGATCTTAGACAGCCGACTTAGGGTCTTGTCCGGGCCGGCTTGGGATCGGAGTTGATCCAGAGTAGTCCCGAGAGATAGGCCAAGGGTTGCGGAAGCAATCTGGGCCTGTTTGTGAGCTCGACTAATTTCGGCTTCCGGAGCTCCTTCGGCCTCAAGCTGAAAGGCTTTTGTGAGGAGCGATTGTACGAACGCTTCATTGGTCGAGGGTTGCACCGGGACGGCAGTAGAGCTAGTTTGGGCCTGCCCTGGAAGGGTACCGCGGCGTATCGCGTTTGCCCCTGTCGCTAACAGTTGCTGTGAGTGGCCCATAGGGAGCTGACCAGCAGTCCCTGGAGTTCTGAAACCTGGGGGGCTTAGTGTGACGAGGGGGTTGTTTGATCCTCGTCTAGTGTGACCTGAAGAGTTTCCAGGTTCAGTCCGACCGCGTCCCTGACGGTTTCCGGGGTCTTGCTCATCCCCCGACTCAGAGACTTGGTGTTCCTCATCTTCCACCTCTTGTACTCGCTGATCTGGTGGAATTTGGTTGAGGCGCTGGGACGCGAGGTGCTCAAGGAGTTGAGCACTGGGGTCGTCATGGGGCGTCTCCGGGACGGCCTCGGAAGGGGTAGTGGCCGTGGCCCTGCTTTTGCGTGTGCGACTGCCGTTGGCCATTGTTGTTATAGCTCTTCAATTAAGGTGGAGCTTGAGGAGCGGTAGTGGAAGTGGCCTTCTGTTCTTCAAACCAACTGCGTCTCTGTAGGAGAGTATGAAGGATTCGAATTGTGAGAGCACTGTGAAGCAGGAAGCGTGAAGCGCAGAAGGGGGTACAGGATAGTATTGATAGACGAATCCTTGAGGAGACTCAGGGGTTCGTAAGAGGATATATATATATGTGCTGGGGCACGTGACGGGACGTCATGTGCCCAAGGCTGGGCCGAGGGCTCTCCGGGGAGAGTCCGAGGCATGTCCAAGTTGACCGTGACAAAAAGCACTATAAAGCAGAAAGCATAAAGCACAGAAGAGGGTATAGGATAGTATTAATAGATAAATCCTTAAGGAGACTTAGGGGTTTATAAGAGGATATATATATATGTGCTAGGGCACGTGACGGGACGTCATGTGCCCAAGGCCGGGCCGAGGGCTCTCTGGGGAGAGTCCGAGGCATGTCTAAGTTAACCGTGACAGTTATGTTATTTAGATATTGCGTCTTGTATATAGTGTTAGTCGCACTAAAAGATTTTATATAGGTTAATAATTTACCTAGCTTAGTAATAGTTTACGTTAATTCTTAGTAATATTATGCTACAACTTAATTAAAGACTATTGTCTATAATGCTCTGCTAAATAAGACTGGTGATCCACGGTACCTTGCGCTGGTTGAACCTCCCACGGATGCCTTGTCTAATTTGGAGACTCTCCCACTGCGCGTTGAGGACTCTGTGGCATACTATATGCATGCGGCCAAGGTTTTATTATGCTGTCAGCGTCGGTTCTTCGCGCAGTCTCACCAGAGAGCTCTGACAGTCTATGCGGGTGGTACGTCCCCCATAGGTTGCCGCGACTGGACGGCATTGCGGGAAGCTCAAACTGGCGCAAGGCTTGCTGTTGATACGTGAAACGGTTGGGATCGTAGGGGGACATGTTTGGGTCCGGAGACGCACAGGGTGGTCGCACTGCTATTCTGCATAAGCATTTTAACACTAGAGAAAGTTGGTAAGCCGTACCTGGTGCGGTTGGAGAACCGCCTACGTCTGGCTTTTCTGATATCCTCATGGTGAGATCTGATTGCCGACGATCCAGAATGTCTTTGTGTAGATTTCTTGACTTCTTCGCGTGGAAGATCAAGTAAATGAGAAGCCCGAGGAGAACAGCGATGCCCAATCCGCCGCCTGCTGCACCGCCCGCAATGGCTGCAATGTGACCGTCCCTGTTATTCTGACCAGGTGATGGCGCTACGACCGTTACTGTAGTCGGAGGAGACGCCACAGTTGAGCTAGTCCTTGATGAAATAATAAAAGAACCTGCAGAAGAGTGTGTGGAAGAGCTTGTAGAAGTAGTGGTTGTAGAGCGGTAGCTGGTACTTGATGGCAGAGATGAGGTGCTTGTTGAGCTTAAGCTGCCAGTAGGGGAATACGCTGATAATTGTTCCGGGCGGTCTATGAAGGCAGGAACGAGGTCGCCGCTGGGACATTGGAGTCCCTGGTTACACGGATTCGATTTACAGCATCCCCAGAACGTCTTGCTTCCACTGGCACACTGCGCTTGGTGGGTTAGGGACGTTAAGGAGCAGGGCTAGGGACCGCACAGTATAAAAGTCGCTACCTGAGCCACAGCTAGCATCAGGAAATTTCCCATAGTAGGCACTATCGAAACTCACAGTCCGAATATTGCCTTGGGAGCAGCCGTTCGAGCATGGGTCGCTGACGCAGCACCCGACAAAGCGTGAGCCAGAGGCGCATGAATACCACATTCCGCCCGAGGGACAAGTAGGACTGAATTCGAGTCGTTTCCACCGATACCGCGTCATCTTCGAGATCCAACAATTTGCCGATAAAGTGTTAAGCGTTGAAGAGCTCGAGGATGATTAGACAAAAGACCTCTGTAATACGTCGACTTTAACGAACGGTCTAGCATGCACAACCTTGAGCCAGATACGAAATAAGCAAGTAAACACGCCGCTCGCCGTTAATTCCAATAGAATCTACATTACCAAATACGTATATACCTAGCGAACTGGAGCTGCTATACAGGCGCATAGTATTGCTTTTGGAGGTCAGACCTGCGTCAAAGCTTACCAAAAGAGGCTGAAAAAATCCACTGCGATTGGCACAGCCTTAAAGGTGATATGCTAGCGACGCTGCTGGGAACCCTGATCGAAGCCATCCGGTTTTCGTGATCGGCTAAGGATCGCCTCGTGGAGGCGGAGCAGGCTGTTTTGGGGTGAGGTGCGTCTTCTGATGTCCTTCTTACTCGTGCACTGAAACGAGGGGTATATTTCAGTCCAGCGTTGAGCTAACTCATACTGGATCCCTAGTTCCGCCGTTAGAGGCCTTACGTGAGGGAAAGTTCGCGCAATAGGAGCTGTTATTATATATTTTGGGTCGCCGCTTGCGACAAAACACGACAATTATACGATGGACAGACCAATGTTTCGTAGCTCAGAAATTTCGCGGAGCAGGGTACTGACAAATGGGGATTGGTGATGTGGAGATCTTCAGTCTTGGGCTTTTTCTTCGCCGAATTCCAGTAATTACATTAGCGGTTATTCGCACCTAATCTGTGGGTGCTCAGACAGCCAGCTGAATTGAGGGAACAAAAACACCCCTGCTTACCAGGAAGGCTCCGAATCAATCTTTTAGCAAACGCTGTTAGTCTACAGCCAGCACAATAAGGCCTTACTAACAGTTTGTTACGGTCCATGAGTGGACCAGTCAAGGGCCGGGTAATGTGCCCCACCACCTAGACGGCCAAGCGTGGAACCCCTTTATGCTCGAATGGGAAGAGCCGGCTGGGGAAGACTCGGATGAGCAGCCGTACGAGGAATGCATCGTCTAATAGGACCACTGTACAATGGATTGCAGTGATCGCAACGCTTGGCAAGCCAAGCCTGCAATCACTACATAATAGATTGCAATAGACGCATCACTTAGCAAGCTAAGGCTGCAATTACTACATAATAGATTGTAGTAATTGCAACGCTTAGTAAGCTAAGGTTGCAATTGTTGCAAGGACAGAAAAGGCATATAAAGGCCCTATTAATTAGCCCTAAAGGGTGTAATTAAAGTTTAGTTTATCTTTACATAGACTAAGTAGCATTCTAGCTTTTTAACAAGCTGCAATACTAGTTGTATATCTTGCACTATATATACCTCTACTTCTGTCCCTAGGACTGTTTAACCCAGCGTCTATACTGCTGTCTAAGGGCAAACTACAATTTAGCCACCTGTAACGATTCTCACGAATCGTTCCATCTTGGGTCGCTCAGATCCTATCCGTGTAACGATCCTCATGAATCGTTCCATCTCGAGTCGCCCGGAACCTCCGGAAGGCCCTCGTATCGGCCCCGACCTCGACCTGGCCCCGACCCCTGCTGTTACCCCTATTCCCTCATGTATTTAGTCGCACCTCGCCCCTGTAGCTAGCTCGGTAGTTTTCTGATATCCTTTCGTACAAGGCCTATAGGTGTCAATGGCATTCCCAGGTTCAGAGTCCCCACGCACTCCCATATGCCTCTGAGTGGATTCCCACCGCATTCGGACCCATTGTCTTGCCTGCGCCGTTACAATCTGAAGGGTCCCTGTATCGGCCCTAACTATAACTTAACCCTGTCCCCTGCAGTTACCTCTATTCACCTAAGTATTTAGTTGCACCTCTTCCCTTAGCTAGCTTAGTAGTTTTCTAATATCCTTTTGTACAAGGCTTATAGGTGTAAGGACGGAGCTCTGTACCACTACGCTAATACAACTAAAAAGGTGCAAATAATTAACTAACGTTAATTATTGCGTACAGAATAGTATATATACCTGTTGCACATAAGCACTATCTTAGCCTTACACGTAAGCGCTATTCTGGCCTTACATTATCCCCCTTCTTAGCAGACGCATGTCCTAGGCGTCACATGACCTACCCGCAGCTCAGAGGCGCCTATGCGCATGTCTTGGTTACCGGCCAGAGGCTGACCACCTGCGGCCTAGAGGCGCAGGATAAACACAACGCAACGCTTAGTGGCCCACGCCAGCTAAGCCATATACACTAGACCTTCTAGCAGCAACAACGTGGCGCTAGAAGAGGCTGCCTCACGTTTTAGTCTAAAAACTAGCTTAAAGCTGACTAAAGTAGAGGTTAAACACTAACTGTACCCTGCTGTTAGTTAATTATTATGTAAAAATAAAGCTCTATACTACTACGCTAATATAACTAAAAAGGTGTAAATAATTAACTAATGTTAATTATTGCGTACAGAATAGTATATATACCTGTCGCACGTAAGCACCATCTCGGCCTTACACGTAAGCGCCATCCCGGCCTTACAATAGGTGTTAATAGCATTCCTAGGTTCTAAGTCTCCACGCACTTCTATATGCCTCTAAGTAGATTTCTACTGCATTTAGACCTATTGTCTTGCCTATGCTATTACATTATATTAGAAAACTTACTTTTGCTAGTAATAGCTTTATTAATAATATTATATAAATTATTTATTTAACTATATTTAAGCTTTAATACATGTTTAATTTAGTTTAAGTTATAGTTTTTACACACTATTATATTAAATTATTTAGTTATTATAAATAAAATTTTAGAAATGTCTGTACAGAAGTACAGCTGTGTCTGTACACGCGTACAGCTAAATTAGGTTGCCTAAAACGTTAGCTATCTAGCCTATACATTAGGGGCTATGTGTACTTAAAAGCCCTCTTTCTTTATACAAAAAAAAAGGGCAGTAGTTAATAATAAAAAAATCTTTGCTTACTTACCTCTTAGTACGCCTCTTAGGTGTATGTTTGTTTAATTAAACCTAGGTTAACTAACACTAATTAGTTTATTAATAAACTATTTACTGCGTGCGTAGCTACGCAGAGGCTATTATCCTTAATAGATAGATTTGCAAGGATTAATAAAACTACTACTATACAAGAAGCTTACTCCTACCGCGTGCGTAGCTACACAGAGAGGGCTTAGACGCTCACACCCACTGCGTGCGTAGCTACGCAGAAAGGGCGTGAACAAGTCTTATGCGCGCCCCTAGATTAACTAATTGCACAAAGACAAGATTAGCAACCTGCTGCGTGCGTAGCCACGCAGAGAGGGCTTACTGCTAAGCCTTTATGCGCCTTAGAGCCTTCTGTTAA